CCCAACCACTTCATTAGCTCTGGAGCTACTTGTACTTGTCCTCCACTCTTCCTCAGTAGCATGTTGGACGCCTTCCGACCTGAGGGGCCCATCTTCCAGCGTCATATCTTTTAGCCTTTTGTTTCTGATCATGGGGCGTTCTTGGCAAACATACATACATACATACATACATAATAAAAATTAATAATTGTGCACTAAGAAAATGGGATATTCCAAAGGGGGAAAAGTTAAAAGATTTCTTATTTGCCTATACTCTTAATAACAGCTTTTGTTGCTACGGAATTTTAATCATTTCATTATTTAACAGCTTCATTCTAGTTTTGTTGAGTTTGATCTTGATACTTTCGTATTTAATTTTTTTTAATGTTTGTGTGTTTTGTTTGATTTAATTGTAAGCTCCTATGATATTTTTGTGAAATAGTGAAACAGGTCTTTCAAATAAAGTAAAAAGTGGGTTTGTGGCTTTTCAGAAAAGTAAATAATAAGGGATGGCAAAAGATGAAAAGCTGTATTTGCTCAATGGCAGGTTTGTTTGTTTGTTTTTGGGGGGGAGCATTGCTAGTTTTTCACTAGATACTAGTGTATCTCATACATAATATTTTGTTCTGTAAAATCCTCAGAGAGTGATTTCCTGAACCTCCTGCTGATTTGTTATGTCACATATTTGCTTTTGGCTGTTATTTTTAAAATTCATTTTTAAAATCTGACACTTGAAACAAGAACACTTTGGGCTTCTTTTGTTGGCACAGCATTTAAAAGGTAAAATGAGGCATAAGAAGTACAAGTACCATTTGTAAACGAGAAAGTTAATTTAATATATGCTCTAGGCCAGGGGTCCCCAACCCCTGATCTGCGGCCTGGTGCTGGTTCATGGCCTGGGCCGGAGTGGGCCACAGAGACAGATCGCTGCCCCACACAGCTGATTTGTGCAAGTGCACAAATGTGCACACTCCACCTCTTTGTGCATGCACGTGAGTGTGCACCCGCATGAGCACCCTTCGTGCATGTGCGTGTGTGAGTGCGCCCTTCCCGTTCATGCATGTGCACGAGCATGGGGGTGCCCCGCCTTCCCCGCACACAGACCCAGTCCTCCTAGAGACAGATCGCTGCCCCACACAGCTGATTTGTGCAAGTGCACAAATGTGCACACTCCACCTCTTTGTGCATGCACGTGAGTGTGCACCCGCATGAGCCCCCTTCGTGCATGTGCGTGTGTGAGTGCGCCCTTCCCGTTCATGCATGTGCACGAGCATGGGGGTGCCCCGCCTTCCCCGCACACAGACCCCATCCTCCTCCAACTGGTCTGCGGAGTCAAAAAGGTTGAGGACCACTGTTCTAGGCAATAAGTTGTTTAAAATGGATTTGGGACTGGCATGTGTTGTTAAATAGACAGAAAGCTTATCAGGGGATTAAAAGACCACTGTTCTAGGCAATAAGTTGTTTAAAATGGATTTGGGACTGGCATGTGTTGTTAAATAGACAGCAAGCTTATCAGGGGATTAAAACAGAGGTCCCCAACCCCTGGTGCCGGTCTGTGGCCTGAGCTGGACTGGACTGCAGAGACAGACCTCCCCCCGGCACGCACTCATCCCCGCACAGCTGATTTGCACATGTGCTCCATCACGCCTGTGTGAGCGCTGCGCCACCATTTGTGCATGTGCATGAGCACACGCCCGCACAGCTGATTTGCACATGCGCTCCAACACGCCTGTGTGAGTGCTGCGCCACCATTTCTGCATGTGCATGAGCACACATGTGCCCGCACAAGCCCCACACAGCCATTTGCACATGTGTGCTCACTTGTGCATGCACGTGGGGTGTGTGAAAAAGGTTAGGGACCCCCGTATTAAAAGATCTAGTCTCTGTATCAGTGGAGGAAGCATGCCCTCAGAGGCATTTTCCCCACCCCACCCCCATCCCTTCAACTGCAGTAGGCCTTCCATGGTCATGATAAAAGAACTGTGGTTGGTAAATTGGAGGAGATGTAAATGTGGAGGAGGTGAGCCACTCAGATTGTTCCCTTGATCAGAGCAGGGGAAAACTAGAAGTCCTTGAGCTGCAACTCTCTGATTCCCCCAGCCAAGATGGACAGTGGCTCCGTAGGTTCCATACCCATCAACCTCTTTTTTCCAACACAATAAGTTTTTCTTTCATTTTTACAGGATTCCGCTATGGGAGTGACATAGTTCCATTCTCTAAGGTAGATGAAGAACAGATGAAATACAAAACAGATGGGAAATGTTTTGCTGTCTTGGGATTCAGCAGATCTTCTCAGGTATGGCCATAAGCTTAGGGACATGTCTTCTTGAAGGCTTTCACGGCCGGGATCTGATGGTTGTTGTAGGTTTTTTGAGCTGTTTGGCCAATGTTCTGAAGGTTTTTCTTCCTAACATTTCGACAGAGGTTTCTCTGAAGATTCCAGCCACAGAGACTGGCGAAATGTTAGGAAAAAAACCCTTCAGAACACGGCCAAACAGCCCAAAAAACCCTACAGCAACATATGGACATGCTTACTGTGCAAATACAGGGCTAGGATATTATTTATTAGAAGTATTAATCACTTTTCTATCCATTGGAGTCCCAAAGTGAGCTACAGTAAACTAACTAAAAATATCTTTTAAAATCAATTTAAAAAAAAATTAAAAATCCTGTTTCAGGAGCCCTTTTAAAAGACTGTAAGGACTCAACAGTGTGACTTGGACGAATGAGTCTGAGTCAAGTTGTGAGTTGCCCCAGAAATCCCAGAGCCAAGCCTGAGTCAAGTTGCTGGTGCAACTTTAAGTCGGACTCAACTGCGACTTGCAATACCCGGTCTCTGGTGAAGGTACACATACCTACTGACATACATGCTTACTGTCTTTCTGACTATTCCTTTACTGTTGGAGAGTATTGTCCTTTAAGGGTAGATTAGTTTGAGTTGTCAGAAGGTATGCTTTCTTGGTGAGGAAAAATTAAGGCATCATAATGATTGTGTCCTGTTTTGTTTTGAACCAGGAGTGAGGAACTGGTTCACTAGCATTGTTGATTAATGAAACATCAGGATAGAAATATAGTTATAAGTAACACTTTTTGTTGAGGGGTGCACTCCGTTAGGTGTTTTCTGTCTGGAACTTCATACTCGTAGTGGGCAAGGCCAGAGTCAAAAGCCATAATCCCCCCCTTCCTTTCCCTTCTCTCTATTTTCTTATTCTCCTCCCTCTCATTTCTCCCTTTCCTCGCTCTTTTCTCTTTCTGACTCCCTCTTTCATTTCTTTTTTTTCCCCCTCATCCCCATCCTCATTTTAAAAAGTCTGTTTCTGAAAAATAAAACTCTCTTAAGTTTGGAATAGTAATTTGGAACTAAGAATTTATTTCACTTAGAGTAGAAGGCAAGATGGGAGAGAGAGAGAAAGGATGACAAAGAAGGCTGATATATGGATGAGAATGTCTGAGGTGGGGAGTGACAAAAGTCGCAGAGAACGTTCTGCTTGAGAACTTCTGACCATTATCCCAGAGTGGTAGTCAGTGTGGAGATTCTGACAACTGTAGGAAACACTACAGAGAGGTAACAACGTGCTGTGTTTCAGCTTTCCAGCATAGAGCAGAGCAGGCATGTCTCTGAAAGTTCCTTTAAAGACTTCAAAATAATGTTGCATAAGATAAAATTCCAGAAACATTCCTTTGTAGGTCCTGAGACATCGCTACATGGGGAACCAGGTCCTGAAGGTCTTTCCAGCGAAAGATGACGAGGTAAGACAAATCTCCAATCTTGATAGTGACTAGATTACTGCTGTACAG